ATATATATATATATATATATATATATATATAATATATATATAATATATATATATATATGTATATATAGTGAATCCAATCCGTATTGCAGTCTATTGGCATCCCGACGTTCTTAACCGGCATGTCTCGTGGATTACTGGGACAGCAGAGTCCCATTCATATGCGCTACAACAGAAAGGATACCCTTAAAGAAGCTGACTTAATCATTCTTGCGGGTACTTCATTCTTTTGTTTTGAATTGAACCAATCTGCGTAATTAATCTCTGAAATCGTTTTATTGCATAGTACTAGATTATTTCAGGTGCAGTGTGCGATTTTCGTCTTTCATATGGGCGTGCTCTTTCACCGTACGCTAGTGTGGTTTCAATAAATCGTGATCGAGCACAGATGTTAAAAAATGAAGGCATATTCTGGCGAGTTAAATTAGCGATCCAGGCAGATGTTGCAACAGCCTTAGTCAATCTTGCAGATTATCTGCTTGCAAATGATCCTGAAGTACCACTTCTTAATTATATTGTTAACTTCTCGAAATGGGAAGTTTTTATTGAATAGTAACATCTTTAGCTGTAAGTTCAGATACCTTAAGTAATCATAGTTTTAACGTCAGCTTTTATGAAATTCTTTGCTAATTAAACTAAACTTTTTGGTCCAGCCGCCTGCATTCCTACAACGAACAACATTTTTTGACCGTAACGCAGTTGTCATTTTTGAAATGTGTTAGTTTTGCCTCGTTGAAGTTAGAAATAATTGATTAGTAATTAAGTTTCACTGCAGCTTGCTCAAAATTACTGTACTTATTGTGGAACTTTCGTGGATGTGATTCGTTAGCAGTATATAATGAAAGACAAATAAATCTTTCAGCATGGTTTGTCGATACGAGAATGGATATCATATTTGACAGCGAAAGAAAAGGCGAAAAATGCAGAAAATATGAACAAAATGAAGGAGTCATTTGTAAAAGATGGAATCAATCCTCTTTATGTGCTCTCCCTGATCAATAAAGTTGGTCATTTCAGTTATGTTCCGTTGTTTTGTTCAATTTTGTTCGCTGAGGAAATGCTATAGTTCTTTGATTTTTATATTACAGGTTTTACCAGAAAATGCAATTTTGATAGCTGATGGTGGAGATTTTATTGGAAGTGCCGCTTACATTGTGCATCCAAGAGGTCCATTACAATGGCTCGATCCTGGAGTTTTCGGTACTTTGGGCGTTGGAGCCGGTTTTGCACTTGGAGCAAAAGCCGTACGTTATGCTATACTTCATGAAGATTTAAGAACTTTTTTTCGGAGGAAGTCTAATTAAAAAAGAAATGTACCACTTTTTTTTCCACCCACACAAGCATTAAGAGCTTCCAAAAAATTTCCACCGTTGTTTGAACCTATTTGGACTAAAAGTCGACATTAGCTCTGAATTGTGTTTCTTCCAAAGTTACATATACTAGGTGTATTTTCTTTTAGAAACACCTCACATCCTAGATCATGTGATATGTACATCTTTAGTGGTTTATTTTCCTTTATAATCGAAGCAATCGGACACATTAACGTAAAACTGAATCCAGTATAAAACAAATAAGAGACTTCTTTTAAAATATAATTCATACTGTGAAGTTTTTTGTGAGATGAACGTAGCTGTTATGTTGTTTCTTCCCTTGTGAATTTATGTTTTAAATCACGAAACTTTTTATAGGTTTATCCAAATCGTCCAGTTGTGATTTTATACGGTGATGGATCTTGTGGATTTTCGCTGATGGAATTTGATACTTTTTCGCGTCATAAACTTTCTGTCATAGCGTTAATTGGCAATGATGCTTGCTGGTCGCAGATCGCGCGTGAGCAAATTGCTACACTCCATAGTTCGGTTGCGGTGGATCTTCAGGTGTGTCATTTTATTCCTTCACATATCTTATTAAAGCCAGTATGGTGTGCTACGACTTTGCTCACAGCCAGAGAGCTTTTCTGTTAAGGTTTCATGGTGCTTGTTTTGTCGTTGAAAATTCTTTGTGACCGATGATGATCAAGTATGTAACGCCGTATTCGGGAAAGTTTATTCAAAATATCTAGGATGCATTCGCGTCCTTCTGTTAGAGTGGCCTTAATTTTTCCGTGACGGTGAAAATTTGTCTGTTTCGAGATATTAAAGGTATGTCTCTACTTTTTCAAAAGCAAATGAAAAAGGGACTTTTTCAGTACACGAGATATGATAATGTAGGGGCAGCATTGGGTGCAAGCGGTGCACTGATTGCTAATCAAGAAGATTTGACAAGGGAAAACTTTGAACAAATCTTCGCATCTGCAACGGATGGTGGTTCGGTGGTTGTAAACATCATTATCGGCAAATCGAATTTCAGGGATGGTAGCATATGCGTTTGATTAATTATGTGATGATGTGATTCTTACGTGAATTACAGCACTTTTCACTTATCTTAGCGAAGCAGGTTCAGTGTACCTTCGTATTGCATATGTCGCTTAAAATGCATGGTTTAAAAACCAGTAGATCTTCAGTTTTGAATTTTTTTTGGTGCTAGATTTAATGAATATTCTGCTTTGCAAAATATTGGCAAGATTTTCTAAGATATGAGTGAGAGGGAAATTGATGGAATCCTGTTTTAATCTTTCATCCATGTAACAAAAGTGAAAAAAGAAACGTAACAGCAACACTCATAGACTTAAACTCGAAAATTCAGTAATATATACAACGTGTTCGGTGGAATGGAACCATTTCTTCAATTCGTTTAGCATTTTTCCGTCGATACAGCCACAAAAAATTGTCTATATATGCTGCATTGTACATATTGTAACGATCGTCTGTAGCTTTCTGCCGAATTGCTTTCACAATGTCCTGAAAATTTTTGAAAAAGATGAGTTGCAAAACTTGCATAATCCATCAGAAAATATGGTTCTTTTTTGTTTAAATCAGGTGTTTTCTCATATGGTTTTTTTTTTCTCTCCCAAAACATTTTACATTTGTTTTGCTTAAACTACAGACAGTTTGACGAAGAGCTAAAACAGACATCACAAGCTTTAATTGAGAATCCTCGCAGTTCCACTTCATGTTCTGAACCATTTTGTAGTAATTCTTTTTCATCCAGTTCTTTCATCAGTGCCGATGAGTATTTCAGTACACCTAGGAAGTGAAGTGCTTGTGGTACACGATAATCGGCAAACATTGTAAGTTCACTGTAACATGTAAAAGTTTGCATTTATGAAATGAACCGCCAATAAAAAGTTTTTCTATTTCATTAAATGTGAAATAATTAAAAAATGATAAATCCTTACTGAATATCATGAAAATTGCACGCATCGTCACTTTTTCGCATGCACAAGTATATGTCACTCACAAGGATTTGTGCTCGTTTGAGAAATGAAACTAAAGAATGTACCGAAGTAGAAATAGAAAGTGTAGCAATATTGGGTGACTTATGTTTGTTTACTCAGTTAAATTTTCTAGATACTGTCTTAATTGTCAATACATTCATTCCGGAATATATATGTGCCTAGAATTCCTGTTGTACTATGTCAGAAAGGTTTGATGCCATATGCTTCTCCTTATATCACCAAGTAATTTGTGAATTTCGTAAAAAGGAAAGACCGACGTAAAAAAAAAAAGGGAGGAACTGCACTTTTTTGTCCTTTGTAAGTAGCAAAATCACGATAACTTTCGAAATGTTCAGCAACATCTTTCATCAGTTTAATGGCGCTTTTATTGCATTTCAAGATGCAGTTGTAAAATGTTCCATCAAATTCCTGTTAAACATCATCTAATTAAACCAGGAAACAAACGGAGAGAGTGGGAATTTGAGCAATTAAATTAAATTCATAAAATTTTTACACCTGATTGAGTACCCTGCCGGCTTCATTTATCACCTTTACTCGTTCTTGCAATAAAGGAATTTCACTTCCTAGAAAAAAAGTGCTTTTTATCCTCGTTCAATTGTTTGATGAAGTCAAAATTTTGTTAAGCAATGAGTTCATTATGAGATCACTGTTGCCGCAAAAAAGAAAAAAAAATCCAAATTATTGGATCCTTAACAATTCATTAGACTGCGTAGGTTTGGAAAGACAAAATATGAAGGATATTTTTTGTTCAATGTGTCAACTTCGGCTGTCTGAATGACTAAAGTATGAAAAGTGAACCATTATCAGTTTTGAAGATCTTCCGAATATCATCCTCAGTAACATTTTCCATATAACCGGCAGTGGTAATCGGTATATTTTCTTCTATGGCTCTATTAATGCATGCACATGCAGCCAAATAACCTGTATATTGTTTCTCGTGAAATGTTACTTTAAAATTTGCTTTATGGTTAAACCAAAATGAGAAATTGATTGTATCAACGAGAAAGATCCTGCAAAAAATGAATCAATAATGGTTTATATCTTTTAATAAAATTGTAGAAAAATATAGCAAAAATCAGATGGGATTCCTTCGAAATGTCAAAATTTCCAAAAAGTCATAGAAAATTTCGTCATTTCGTAAGACTTCGTGCAAAGTTATCCACACTATTTCACTATTAATTTTTAAGGAATTTCATTTATCACATTAACTTCCTTATGTGGGTATAAAGAAAGAAAAAGAAACAGACTTTTTCCTGAATTAGATTTGCCAGGAAAAAAAAAGTGATAAGTAATATAAAATTCTTCGAATCAAAATAAATTATAAATTCTACCAATCAATAGCTTTACGATCAGCTACTTGTGGATGAACATCAAGTGAGAAATACGAATCCTCCGTAAAATCATTGCTGTTAATGGCATTCATGATCTGCACATTATATTCAAAAAATAAAAATTGTTAGCATTAAGCTGTAAATAATCTCAAAAAATTTTATAGAAATGATATCTTATATTTTATGACAGCTTATACTCTTTACACTTATATACCTTACATTTTATCTTTCAGTAAGCTTCATATGTATCTATCTTATTACCATCATGAAACTATACGATCAATTATTCTTATTTTTTACAATGATCACTTTTAATACATTCATTTAAATGATTACGAAAAATTAATTACGAAGACGTACAAGTTCAGCCACTTTTACTATTCCATCTTGTGATAATTCGATGTTGTTAATACCATTTGCAACAATAAATTCAGCACTTTCACGCGGATATAATCGATCAACAAATACAGACATATTAATTAATCTATCTAAAAGTGTACAAACAAAATATCATTGTTATGCTAATTTCGGATAATGAAATTAATAACAATTGCTACATCTGATTCTCTGAAAAATCTCATAATTCTGCCATGTAGGAAATGATTTAAGGATATCCTATTTCAGGAAATCATCGGAACAGGATAATGCCTTGAATAATTCACGAAATATCATATTTTGCTATTAGTACCCTTATTTACTTGCTGAAATAGTATAATTCTGAGAATTTTTGCAACATGAAAGTATAATTCAGAATTGTTGACGTTATATTGTCGAAAGTATCTTTATGAATAACGATTTATTCAGTTTCAATTTCTTTTTTAAAATTCTAACAAGTAACCCAAATGTTTATATAAATAAAAATATATGAAGGAGGTGTAATTAAATATGAATGGGAAAGCGTATTTATGATACAATTATAAATATGCACCGAGTATCACGAAGTTTCAGAATTACTGCAAACATTCTTATCAGTTTGGTTTGATCCATTCTAAGAAGTTGAGTGGTGATAATTTTAAATTGGAAATAAAAAAGTTTCAAGATATTCATGAAAGTCCATTAATACATCATGAATGAATGCTACAGAATCTTCATTACATAATCTTCACCTTACCTCCTTTCTCCTACAAATATACGAAATTTCAGAACATATTCAGGATTTGATATCACGTGTAGCAAAAAAAAGAAAAACACTGACCGTTACGTCACGAATCTAATAATATTGGAATTTTTCAGTGGTTTATAAATTTCTACTCCCGAAGATGAAAGGGAGAGATAAATAGAAATTATATGCAGTTCGTAATGTCATTGCTGAGATTTGCACAAAATTTGTAAATATTATAGAAAGAACGAATCAGTCGGTGCTTTTATATGCAGGAAATCCATGAAATGGATAACATCCATTAAAAATTTCTACAAAAAATAATAGTGCAGACTTGACTTGTCCAAAGAATTTGATATCAATCCTTTAATTAATAAAGATATTGATCATGATGTATTCAATTAATACTAAGTGATACCGAGGCTGATAAAAAAAAAAGAGAAAAAAAAAACAATGATTGGCAACAAAAATCCACACTAAATTTCACCATTCAATAAAAAACAAAAAAATCGATACAGAGAATAAAAAAA